CAATCCCATGACACTGAGTTCAGAGGCTCCTGCACGTTGCAAGTGAAGTATCAATTAATAGAACATTTGGTGCAATCTTTTGAAAATTCTAATGAGCCATTCTCAGCCTCACGGATGCAACGTGGGGTTTGTGACCGCTTGTCTTCTCTCTGTCCCTCTAGCCTGGAGCAGATGGCAAGGGCAGGTCACTTCTCCTAGGACGTGCATTTGCATGTGGGGGCCAGCAAGTGGAGCATCTCTTCCACTCCTTGCTGATCTGCCTGGTCCCGCCTTTGTTGCTCTGCTTGTGCCTCCCTTGTGGCACCAGTCCTCTGGGAACAATCCTCAGGTAATACAACCACGATGTAATAATTGCCTTGCCACGCCTCTCCTGTGCTGCCAGTGCCATGCTCCCTGTCTCTCTGGCCTCAGCTCAGCAAAGCACTGGAGAACGGGCTTAGCTTGAACCAGGTGCTTACTGATGTCAGTGGAACATAAACATGCTTAAAGTTAAGCAAGTGCTTAAGTGTTTTGCTGAATCAAGGCCTCTCTCAATGTGAGTAACATCAGAAAAGCAGGTGCACCCTCCCCCAAAAGCGCTAACCCTTATGTCCAGGGAGGCCAGTAGCACCTTTTCTCCTGGTGAAAAAGGGAACTATTGAGCTGAGATGCAGTGGCAGAGCTCTGAACCCGCTCACCTGTGCAGGAACAGGAGGGGCCTGTCTAAAGTCCGGTAGCTGGCTACGGATGCAGGGCTGTTGCTGGGAAAGGCTGCAGTCGCTCCCTGAGTGGCAAACCCGCCTGGGGGAAAGCCAGATATGGAGGAAGAAGCCCAGGGAAACAGCAGCAAGGGGTAGGATTGTATTGGACTGTGGCTGCTTGTTATAGGGTCTCTGGGCTGGAACCCAGGTGTAGAGGGCAGGCTGGGTTCCCCTACCAGCTGCCGGGAAGCGGTACAGGGTGTTGGAGGTGCCAGGCAGCCAGTGGGTCTGGAAAGATGGTGAATTCCCCAGAAGGGGAGGACATCAGTGACCTGGCCGGAGGGCCAAGCCACGAAGAGGAGACTGCAGTCCCTGGAGCGAGAGGGGCCGCAGGGCAAGACAGCACGGGAGAAGACATCACCGGAGCAGAAGCACGAGGTCTGGTATAACTAATACTCAGAGGACAGCCAGCAGGAGGTGCCTTGAGCAGTGAGTGGCCCCTGTGCCATAAGGGTAAAAAAAACCAAACCACAAGAATGTTGTGATTATTCCAAACCCAAGTCTGACAAGCCCCAAAAATTCAGAGTTAAGGTTTCATAGATTCCAAGGCCAGAAGGGCCCCTTGTTATTGTCTATTCTGACTTCCTGTATAGCACAGGCCAGAGAACTGCCCCAAACTAATTCCTAGAGCAGAGCTTTCAGAAAACCATCCAGTGTTGGCTTAAAAATGGTCAGTGATGGAGAATCCACCACAACCCTTGGGAAATTGCCCCAATGCTCATTGTCAAATATATAGGCTTAACTTCCAGTCTGAATTTGTCCAGCTTCAACCTCCAGTCATTGGATCGTGTTACACCTTTCTCTGGTAGATTGAAGAGCCCCTTATTAAATATTTGTTCCCCATGTAGGTACTTAGACTGTGACCAAGTCAACCCACAACCTTCTCTTTAAGCTAAATAGACTCATAGACTCATAGACTTTAAGGTCAGAAGGGACCATTATGATCATCTAGTCTGACCTCCCGCATGATGCAGGCCACAAAAGCTGACCCACCCACTCCTGGAATAATTCTCTCCCTTGACTCAGCTGTTGAAGTCCCCAAATCATGATTTAAAGACTTCAAGTCGCAGAGAATCCTCCAGCAAGCGACCCCTGCCCTATGCTGCGGAGGAAGGCGAAAAACCTCCAGGGCCTCTGCCAATCTACCCTGGAGGAAAATTCCTTCCCGACCCCAAATATGGCGATCAGCTGATCCCCGAGCATGCGGGCAAGATTCTCCAGCCAGACCCTCCGGAAAAAGTTCTCTGTAGTAACTTTTAATATCCCATCACTGACCATTGTTACTAATAGATCGAGCTCTTTGAGTCTATCACTATCAGGCAGGTTTTCTACTCCTTTCATCATGCTCGTAGCTCTTCTCTGAACCCTCTCCAACTTATTAACGTCCTTCATGAATTGAGGGCACCAGAACTGGACACAGGATTCCAGCAGCAGTCACACCAGTGCCAAATACAGAGGTATAATAACCTCTCTACTGCGACTCAAGATTCCCATATTTAGACATCCCAGGATTGCATTAGCTTTTTTGGCCATGGCTTCACACTGAGAACTCATGTTTAGCTGATTATCAACCATGAGCCCCAAATCTTTTTCAGAGTCACTGCTTCCCAGGATAGAGTCCTCCATCCTATAAGTACGGCCTACATTGTTTGTTAAACTAACCGAGTGCAAAGCTGAGATTATCCCAAGGGCATCACTTAGAGGTGGTTAAGAATTTTCAGTCAAAGCCATTTTTCAGAAGAAAACTGGGTTTTCAACAAAATAATATTTTTTTTGCAAAAAAGTGTCTGCTTTCAGTGGAAAATCTTGAATTTTCATTAAAAAAAAAAGGAGCGTCCCCAGTGGTGCCCCTGTGATGATGCGCTGCCTCCCCTCACCAAGACAGGAGATTGTGGTGCCTCATGAGACATGTAGTCTGATCAGTGAGTCCAGCCAATAGAGGACAGTGGGAGTATGAAACAGCTGAACCACGACTCCCAGGAGGCACCACGGTGGCATTTCAGAATTGAACTATATCATTTTTGGGGCAGAAATATTTCAGTTTTTGAGTTTTTTTGGTGAATCCTCAAAATTTTCTGTGGAAGAAACGCCATGTTCCAACCAGCTTTCGTGTCCATAGCAAACAGCACTGTGTAGATATTTGCATATGCTAATAGCATAATTGTCCTTGCCTTTGAAACCCAGTCTCACTGCATCTTTTCCATCACTAACTCGTATGAGTGCACATTTTAGGTCCAGCGTCCCACATAGTGTCCGGACCCTGGGTGTGGCTAACAGCAGCAGATAAGAGGAGACAGTTGTCAAGAGAATCTGAGACACCGTGTACTTGTTATTTAATACAGAAACAAACTTTAAAGAACCACCCCATCGGCTCTTCATCATCCAACTGGTCTTGACCTGATAAACTCTCAATTCTGTGTTTGCTCGGTAGGGTCTAGCCAGAAGGGCCATACTGTTAAAGTGACTCATCTGTCACTCACCTGGGCAGGTGTCCTCACAGAGCCCTGCCACCAAGCAGAGTAAAGCTATGAGGCTTTGCTGTGCTGCTCTCCCCACGGCTGGTGCTGGTCTCCGCAGTGTCAGCTCAATCCATCTCTGCTTGAGCAGTTCAACCCTCTCTTAGCCTTTTATATGCAATAGGAACAGCTGCCACCTTTGAACCCTCAACTCCCAGCATCCGTAATTCCCACTTTCCAGTCATTTCCCCTTGGAAGATTGTGTGGAAACATTTTATTTATTAACGAGGCGGAGGCTGTTTGTTTCCTGGGCCTGCTTTGTCATCTGTTACCTAGTTGATTGCAAAACTGCTGGGGATGTTTGGTCTTATTTCCAACTGGAGAGCTTACCTGCATGCTCACAGGGCTTCAATGCACATTGTACGGGTGCAAGTGGGGAGGAGGGTGTGTGTTGGCTCTCTGCGCAGGATGAATTTCCCCCTAAATCTTGTCTAGATAGGGGAAAAGGTTGTTTGTTTCCCGACCTCTCCATCAATGATCAGAATTAGATGGCTCCGGGAACAGTCTGACAACGCACAGAAGCCTCAGTCCTGGCTGACAATAGAGCTGGAAGGGCAAGAGAAGGAGGAGATGGGATCATCTCATTCCAAACTCAGACTGTCTCTAGCCCATCACCAAACATTTTAGTGACACACTGCGAAGGAAACGATATTAGACTGGAAACGGGGTGGTTCTGTTTGAGTGAGAGCTGCAGCCTGGCATGAGAAGTGCATGTGCCTGCACATTCTGATGAGACACTAATTGCTAAATATTCCCTCGTTTGCCCAGCCTTTGGGGAGAATACACGCTTGGGCCTGCTGCTTGGGCTCTGGGTGGACTGGGGATAAGGGTGTGTGTGGTGGGAGGGTCTTCATTCTCTGGACATCTTGAATATGCAGGCATGGAGAATGACAGATGATACCAGGCCATTTAGAATCCAGGCTGCTGGCTCATCCATAGTTTGGAACCTGTGGGTAATGGCCTAAGCCCCACACCTAGGGCCAGATTTTAAAAGGTATTCAGGTGCCTAAGGATGTAGACAGGCATCTAGTGGGATTTTCTAAAGAACCTAATGAGGTTAGGCACCTAGGCACCTGGTGGGATTTTCAAAAGTTTCTGCAGCTTCAGGCACCTAAATATCTTTAAAAATCTGGCCTTTAGGTGTTTTTCAACCTTTAGGTGTTTTATTATTTGTATGGTAGTAGCACCAAGGAACTTCAGTCATGGACAGGGCCCGTTGTGCTCGGCACTGGACAGACACAGACCAAAAAGATGGCCCCGGGTCCCTACAATCTACGTATTTTAAAGCCTGCTTCCCCTTTCTAATGTGTCTTTTCATCCCATTCTGTTTCCTTGCTTATTTTACCTTCTCGCTAATTAGTTCCAAACAGGGTCAGTGTGGAGATTAAATCAGCTTTAGAATACCAGCCCTGGCAGGCTCAGGAAACCCCTGCGAACTCCTTTGGCAGGGTGCGGCAGAACCTGGGGGAGAGAGCGTGCTGTTTTCTTTAGCGAGCAAAGCGAAGGCCCAGCCACCAGCAGCATCACAGAGCTGTGGGCTTCTTTTTCTTTAGCGTGTTGCATACAGTCGGTTCAGTTCCTGATTGGTAGAAGTGGCACAATTCACAGATGTCCTTATTCATGTTATGGGAATGTCCCAACTTCATCAATTTTCGGAGCAGCATCTATAATCACAGGATATGAACCACCCAACCTTTCACTCCCACTTTGATACGTATCACCACTACTATACGGTACAATTTATTTATGTTGTGTTTTCGATGGTCAAACATATTATTAACTTTTGGAAACACTGTTACATGAAACCGGATGGAGAACATGCATTCTGTACAAGCACAAGGGAAACTCATACCAAATAAGGGCCCAGTCATGCCAACGCTTATCAAGCATAGTACCTGCTCACATTGAAGTCAGCGGGACTATATACGTTAGTATGCAGTCTGCATGGTACTAACTGGGTGCAGCAGTGATCCCAAGAGAGAAATGGGAGGGTTTTTATTTAATTTGGCCATTTTAATTTGACATCGCTATATAGCCAAACTCCGGTTGAAAACGCCTATATGGATATTTCATATCCAAGTCCCTGCAGCAGCTGAACCTAAATCTTGCAGCAAAGTCTCTGGATTCTGCAGTGCTCTGTTGCAGCAGACTAGAAATTTGGTGGCAGTTTCATTTAAATGAAGAATGGAGGCTTTTATGATTTTGGTATGAAAATGAACATCAGTATCAATACAGCTGCCCTGGTGTTAGTTTTGACTTCCCCCCCGCCTGCAAAATCAGTTTGTTGGTTTTCAACCAGCTCTGCCATTTAGATTACCCGGTTTCACATGCATTTAGCCTCTGATGTGTTTACTTGTCCACTCCTTTTAACACTCCAAACTTTCCTTAATTGGAGGGCATCTCAGAACACCCCTTCTTTGACCAGCTCACTCCCTGCCCCAGGCCAAGACGTGCACGGCTCAGGATTCCCAAGGCAACCCAAATGAAAAAAAGATTTGCCAGCTAATAAAAAGGAAAAAAGAGAATGTAAATATGGAAATTCACTGACACTCAAACAGGCCCAGAGTTACCTGGGAACCCCGCTCCGTTCACTCACCCAACTCAAACCATCATGACTCACCAACAACACCCACTTCTGCCTCCTTTCCTGGTTCCCATCACCTTGCATCCCAAACGATCCCTTCCCACAGCATCTCCTCATTGTCTCCTCACCCCACCGCATCCCAAGAGCAGCACATGAGTGGGAAAGAGCTCCACATGCCCCAAAAGGAGGAGATGCCCGTGTCTTGGATGGGATGTGGCCTGTAGCTGTCGGCCCATGGTTTTCACATGGGTCGGGCTCTTAGACTGTGTGGATTCTCTGGTGTGTAATAAGGTTTGAGCTCCGACTGAAGCTCCGCCCACAGTGGGCACAGGTGTAGGGCCTCTCGCCCGCGTGGGTCCGCTGATGCTGGAGGAGATTGGACCTTGCGCCGAAGCTCCTCCCGCACTGGGCGCACTCGTGCTGCCGCTCCCCCGTGTGGATCTTCTGGTGCTCGCTCAGCTCCGAGCCGCGGCTGAAGCTTTTCCCACACTGGGTGCACTGGCGGGGCGCGTCCGCCGCGTGGAGTCTCTGGTGCCTGATGAGGGCGGAGCTCATGGAGAAGCTCCTCCCACATTGGGCGCACTGGTAGGGCCGCTCGCCCGTGTGGATGGTCCAGTGCTGCATGAGGTGGGAACTCAGGCTGAAGCTCTTCCCGCATGCGCAGCGGTAGGGCCGCTCGCCCGTGTGCGTCCGCTGGTGCTGCACCAGGTGGGAGCTGACGCTGAAGCTCCGCCCGCATTCAGCGCACACGTAAGGCCGCTCGCCCGTGTGGATCCGCTGGTGCCGGACCAGGTGAGAGCTGACCCGGAAGCTCTTTCCGCACTCGGCGCAGTCGTAGGGCCGCTCGCCAGTGTGGATCCGCTGGTGCCGCAGGAAGGTGGAGCTCTGGGTGAAGCGTTTCCCGCACTCGGGGCAGGCATAGGGCCGCTCCCCCGTGTGGGTTCTCTGATGGATAATCAGAGACGAGCTCTTGTTGAAGCTCTTCCCGCAGTCCGTGCACGTATTTGGTCTCTCCTGGTGGGTGAGGCCATCACCCACCTGAGCAGATTTACCCCGGCTCTGTGCTGGCGGGTTCCTCCGCCGCTTTTCTGATCCACACCGAGTCTCACGGGCTCCTCCCCACTCGGGGCTCTGGGATCTTGTGGGTAAAGTCACGGGAGGCTCCACCACATCAGGCGCTTCATGCAGGGGCTTCTGCTCCTCATTCTTTCTCGGCATCCCATCACCTGCTGGAATGAAAAGGGAATCCAGCCATGATTTGCTCCCTGCGCTGGGGAGAAAGAGACCCTCAGGAGTAGGAAGGGCAGTGGGGCTTGTCATGAATATTAAAAGTCACCAGAACTAAACTCCACAAGAACCCTTCGCCGGGAGGGGGACTTATGCTGCCTCAAAGTCCCACCTGAGCCAGAGATAAAGGATGGGCGAGGGGAAGAACCCCTGTTTCATATCAGTTTGGACGGGTGGGAAGCCCTGAATGTCTAGGATATGGTTACTGCAGTGAAGGAGGCAGGATGACATAATGGTGAGGTCTTGCAACAGCTTGGGTGGAATTCCACAATTCTCCGTTCACTGAGCTTTGGGCTCGGTGCAAGCTGCTTACTCCTCACCTGTGTGGGCACCGTTCACCATCGTCTCACGGCCTTGCATATCGGGGACCCGCAGCTCTTCTCCTTGTTCTGTCTGGGATCACAGCGGGTCTTGGAACGGGCAGTCCTGCTCAAGGGAAAGGAAGTGGGTGAGGTCAGGGTTTGTCACACGTTTGCCGAGAGTTTGTTACAAAAATGGTGCATGGTTTTTAAATGATCCGTCCTTTCTGACAGTGAGTATATCTCATCTTAACAGAGGGGAAAATGTTCTTGGAGGCCGGTGGTGTAGCTAGGAGTGGAAAGGTGAGTGGGCAGGCAATGACCGACTCGCGCTAGCTCAGCTCGAGGAGATGTTGTGGCATGGGCTAGCTGCCCGAGTCTAGGCCCACCCGACCTCTTGGGGCTGAGTTAGGGAAGAAGCAAGAGAAACTAAACTGGCTGAAGGAAGCGTCTACCCCGGATGCACGCACCGCTCCGGGAATGAAATGTGGGTGAGATGCAGCTTGCCTCCCTTGAGGCCGAGGAACTGCGCTGACACCTGCACAGGGAGCAGGAGTCAGCGCTGGGAGGGCCCTGCTTCCTGGGGGCGGCTCTCTATCAGTGGCGGGGGGAAGCGACCAGGCTCCCAGCTCTGTGGGGAAGGGTTCTGGGTAGGGCAAGTCCCTGTGGGTGAGTGGGAGGAAGCCATTCCCATTGGGGTGTCAGGCCCCACTCTCCAGTGTGTATGTCACTGTCCAGTTTCTGTCCCGGCCCGGTGTGGAGGGGCTTCGCCTGCCGAGCGGGGCAGGAGCGTGGGGTTCCTCAGAAAATGACAAGCCAGAGGTGCCGGAGTGCAGTTCAGGTCCCGGAGCGATGCTCCAGCGGTGCTCCAGCCCTGCTCAGATTTGGGTAGGGCTGGGTGCTTAGTGGGTGGGCCATAGACTGTAAGGGGGTGGTGGGAGCTCAGAGCCAGCCAACCATATTCCAAGGTACAGCTCTTTTAGGGAGATTCTGTGGTACACTCAGGGCAAGGGGTGGCTGAGGATTCAAGCACACCCCTAGACGGAGGTTTGTGGAGACCCTGCACCCAGGCTGGAAGGAATGGCTTGAGGCTGGAAGGGCCAGAAGAACTGTAAGTTCCTAAGAGCGGCAATATTATTTCAGAACTCCTGGCTACACCTCCCTTAACTGGCGAACCAAGTAGGGGACACTGAGGCGAGCTGACTGCAGTGCTACACAGTGAGGTGGTATGCTCTGCAACCAGACCGTTTGGGAACCTCGCCTCTCTGCTGGCAGATGCATTGTGCTCCCTTGTAGGAAATTTGGAGACCTCCCACTGAAGGGGACCTGATGACTTAGGCAAAAATCAAGTACGAAGCCTGTTGCTTGTTCATGAGTGCTGGAACTGGGGGGTGCTGCAGCACCTCCTGGCTTGGAGTGGTTTCCATTATACACAGTATTTACAGTTTGGTTCAATGGCTCTCAGCGCCCCCACTAGACAAATTGTTCCAGCACCACTGTGCTCATCTCCACACCTGCAGAGAGACCATGGACAGGCCCGGTGTGGAGAGGAGACAGGAATTCTATACACCTGCGTGACTGCACACACACTACAGTTCTGTCCTCACGGAAAGCTCTGAGGAGAGGGAAATTACCCTCCTATTTTATTGATCAAGTTCTGGCAATGTCCTCAGCCTGATGCAAAACACAGAGGTGAAGCTAAAGCGCTTACTAAGAGGCAGACACAAAGAACGCAAAACTGGGACTTGCCAGACCGAGTCAGACCAAAGGTGCAGCCGGTCAGACATCCTTCCCGGACAGTGGCCAACCCAGATGCTGCAGGAAAAAAAAAAAAAAACCAGGGGGGAAATTCTTGAAGTCACGGGGGCAGGATTTCCTCCTGGCTGTAGAAGTATTCAATACTGGCCTTTCATGAACAAAGCGCCGTACAACAACAGACTAAAAGGAGCCACTCTGGTGACCATGTTCCCCCGGGCCGCACATTCCCTCAGAAGCGCCTTTACTCTGAAGAGGAAGGGAACTGGCTTTGATTTTTGGTTCCCCCGCTGGTTAAAAGGAAAGCAAACTGGCCCAATGCTGATGCAGTTGCTAGATCTGGGAGCTCATATCTTGGCCCTTATTTCTCCTTCTGCCCCTTTCAGTCTCTTCTCTCCTTTCCCAGTGCCACTCGCCCGCCAGCTGGGAGGTTGATCTTGGTTACATTTCCAGTGTGATGTGATCCCTCTGCCCAGACAATAACAGCCGGGGTGGGTCTGTGCAGTGAGCGGATCTGGGGCTCAGGCACACAGGGAGCAGCAGTGGGGTAGGGGGGAAGGAAAAGGCATTTACAGATACTTTCCTGCCTTCTCTCTCAATTACCTGCAGTTCCTGGCTCAGAAGGTGACTGTAGAATCTGTTTGCTTCCCAAAGACAGTAGTTACAGCCTGGGACGGGGCCCATGGTTGGTTTGCAGTGGCACTTTAAATCATGTCTCTCAGCAGCCCAGGGCCCCTTGGAGATGGGAGATTAGCAGCTCCTTGCTCTGGGCTCTTGGACAGAAGGGAGCTGGGTAGGGACCTTCTCACCCGGGAAGCTCATCCTTAAAATCCCGAGGACAGGCAATCCAGAGGCAGAAAGAGAAGCAGCCTCTTGCCTTTTCCCAACAGCCATCACCCTCTAGTGGCAACAGCTAGGGGAACACTTGTGAATTTTGCCCGGTTCACAGGGGGCGAGGAGGCTCTGTGAGCAGATCAGCGGCACCCGCACACACGGAGCGTATGCCAGGGGTAATCCGTTATTTGTGGGCAAGGTCCAAATTTCTTGGTCAAGGTATAGTCAAGAGCCAGACTCCAGAGAGAATAATACAAAAATAATAACTCATGATAATAAGTAAATTAAAAGATTTCGAAAGCGGCTGGCAGGTAGGGCTGCCAACTTTGTAATCGCACAAAACTAAACACCCTTGCCCTGCCCCGCCCCTTCCCCAAGGCCCTGCCCCCACTCGCTTCACCCCCCCTCCCCTCCGTTGCTCATTCTTCCCCACCCTCACTTACTTTCACCGGGCTGGGGCAGAGGTTGGGGTGCGGGAGTGGGGTGAGAGCTCCGGTGGGGGGTGCAGGCCCTGGGATGGGGCCGGGGATGAGGGGTTTGGGGTGCGGGAGGGGGCTCCGGGCTGGGGCAGAGGTTGGGGTGCGGGACGGGGGTGAGAGCTCTGGTGGGGGGTGCAGGCCCTGGGATGGGGCTGGGGATGAGGGGTTTGGGGTGCGGGAGGGGGCAGGGGATTGGGATGCGGGAGTGGGTGCAGGCTCCGGTAGGGAGTTAGGGTACGGGAGGTGGCTCAGGGCTGGGGCAGAGGATGAAGGGTTTGGGGTGTGGGAGGGGGTGCAGGCTCTGGCTGGGGATGTGGGCTCTAGGGTAGGGCCAAGGATGAGGAGTTTGGGGTGCAGGAGGGGTCTCAGAGCTGGGGCAGAGGGTTGGAGTGCACAAGGGGGTTCAGGCTCCAGGAGGGATTTTGTGTGCGGGAGGGAGCTCAGGACTGGGGCAGAGGGTTGGGGTGTAGGAGGGGGTTTGGGATGCGGGCTGGCTCCTAGGCGGCGCTGACCTCAGGCAGCTCCTGGGAAGCAGCAGCATGTCTGGCTCCTAGGTGGGTGATGTTACCTCAGGCGGCTCCCAGTCGGTGGCACAGTAGGGCTAAGGCAGGCTCCCTGCCTGCCCTGGCTCTGCGCGGCTCCCAGAAGTGGCCGGCATGTCTGGCTTCTAGGCAGAGGAGCCAGGGGGCTCTGTGTGATGCCCGTGCCCACAGGTGCCATCCCCGCAGCTCCCATTGGCTGCGGTTCCTGGCCAGCTGCGAAGCCAGCGCTTGGGGCGGGGGCAGCACGCGGAGGCCCCTGGCCACCCCTCTGCCTAGGAGCCACAGGATATGCTGCCGCTTCCAGGAACCGTGTGGAGCCGGGGAGGCAGAGAGCCTGCCTTAGCCCCGCTGTGCCATCAACCAGACTTTTAACAGCCCAGTCAGCAGTGTGACCGGAGCCGCCGGGTCCCTTTTTGACCAGGTGTTCTGGTGGAAAATTGAACACCGGGCAGCCCTACTGGCAGTCCGGATTTGGCCCGCGGTCCGCCTATTGATTCCCCCAGCATATGCCATGCTCATAGCGACTGAAGCATGCGTCTCTGTCCGGAGGGCAGAGCGGAGAATCCAGGGGAAATTCCTCCTAACTCCCAATAGTTAGAGGTTGGCTTATGTCAGGGGTGGCCAAACTTACTGACCCTCTGCGCTGCATACGATAATCTTCAGACGTTCGAGAGGCAGGTGTGTCTGCCAGGGCTCAGGGCTTCTCCCTGCTGCAGGGTGGTGGGGCTAGGGACTTCTGCCCTGCGGGGCTGGGGGTCTCAGGGCTCCTGCTGAAGGAGAAGCCCTGAGCTCCCTCCCCACTCCAGTCTGGTAAGCGGAGAATGGGGGAGAGGGGTGTGGAGGGCTCTGGGAGCCACACTTTAACTGTAAAAAAACCTGAGATTTTGCCACCTCTTATACCCCGAAGCATGAGGGTTTGTATCATTTCCAAGACTCCTGGCTTTAGGGGTGATTATTTTGATATTACATCACACAATATTCTTCTTACACATAGAACAATCCTTCTTTAAATTCCGCGGAGCTATCTATTTTACACTCCTGCTAACATAGTATCTGAGTACCTCACAACCTTTAAAGTGTTTATACTCTTTGAGGTAGGGGAGTGCTACTATTCCCATTTTACACGTGGGGAGCTGAGGCACAGGGAGATTATGACCTTCCCCAGGTCACACAAGACGTTTGTGGCAGAGCAGGGAACTGGGAATTGAATCCAGCTCTTCCAAGTCCTAGGCTAGTGCCTTAGCCATTGGCCATCCTTCCTTCTCTGTTTTTTTTTAAAGCTTCTATAACATGTTGTGGCAATGAGTTCCACAGGTTAATTGTTCATTCTCTATAAAAGTATTTCCTTTTGTCAGTTTTGAACTGACCACCTGTCAATTTCCTTGAATGTCCCCATGTTCCTGTATTATGAGAAAGGATGAATAGAAGCTCCCAGTGTACCGTCTCTAGAACATTCACTAATTTTTATATAGTGTTTTCTCTTGGTTTCTCATGTCCTTGTTTAGAAGATGGGGCTCAGCTCCCATTGTTAGGCACTAGCCGTTGTTTGTTTCTCTTCCGGGGGGGACTCTTCCTCTTGCTGCTGGGTCAGGGTGTTGTTGCTCTTGAAATTCGGGATGGGGAGATGTTTGGGGACTTTACAATCTAGTTTAAATTTAAAAAATCGCATTACAAACTTTTAAAATCCAGCTTGTTACCCTGTTTCCTTCCCCCTCACCCCCCTTTCTCCAGCTCCAGGAGAGAGACTGGCTTATTTGCCCCTTATTCAGTCCCACTCAGTAGAAATCATTTGCTTCTCCAGTGGAAATTTGTGGCAGGCTACAAGAAAACAATTCCTAATGATGAGGAGACTTTGGCCATGTGAAATAGTCTCCTCCTCAAGAGAAAGGGCATCACTAGCGCTTCCGTCACTAGGGACATTGAAAATCTACGTAAAATTAGATAAAGTCCTGGAAAATAGGCTACAGACCAGGGGTAGGCAACCTATGGCACGCGTGCCGCCTTCGGCACGTGAGCTGATTTTCAGTGGCACTCACACTGCCCGGGTCCTGGCCACCGGTCCGGGGGGCTCTGCATTTTAATTTAATTTTAAATGAAGCTTCTTAAACATTTTAAAAACCTGATTTACTTTACATACAACCATAGTTTAGTTATATCTTATAGACTTATAGAAAGAGACCTTCTAAAAACGTTAAAATGTATTACTGTCACGCAAAACCTTAAATTTGCGTGAATAAATGAAGACTCGGCACACCACCTCTGAAAGGTTGCCAACCCCTGCTATAGACAATTCTACACAGACCCCCAGAAGATGGGAGTGAGGGCCTGAGAGAGTCAGAGAGGGGAACTGCTGCGGGATATACCTGGGATCGGGGGAGGCTGAGAGAAGCTTGGCAGAATTCAATTTTTTTTACAATTTTAATGGATAATATTGATTTTTATTTTTAAGCACTGTCTTTGATTTTTATCCAGCTACACTTTCGCCGTTGTAGGGAAACTAGACATGGCGGGGACCAGACAAGAATTGTTTAATGACAGCAGACACTGACATTCATAAAGTTAAAGCTTTGTAACCACTGGGAAACACAAACTGTCAACATCACGTGTCAAGATACACGAAGTAAATATCTTTCAACCAAACTCAACTAAGTCCTCAAGCAGCATTTTTCTTACTTTGCCTATCTCTACATTTTGATAATTGATGGAAATACTTTTGCGTCCGTTTGCGTGTGTCCAGTGAAATCGACGTTTATTGATGCTTGCGGGGTTGTAGCAAAAACTGAATCCTTCTAAGCCTAGTTATAGAGAACAGAGACTTTGTGGGAGACAGAGAGAGGGTCAGGTCAGAACAAAGCGACCCCTTTTAAAACCATCAGGAAGAGCTCAGCAGGAGAGATATTCACACACCCACACCCACACCCACACCCAGCCCCAGCCCCAGCCTCTGACAGAAGTGAGGAGGGGATTTGGTCGGGAGATCCAGCCCTGTTCCAGGGGGATCCTAAACTAAAAGGGACGCTGGGCTGATGGGAACCTGGTCCGGGTGAGGCTGCCCAGCCCTGGAGGACAGAGCTATGCCTGTCACATGCTGTTCTTTCCCCTCTGATTTTCTATTAGTTAAACAATGAGGAAAGGATCCTGGACCTGGACTGCTCTGTGGGGGAGGCTGTGTCCAGGTTTCCGTAGTGATGACCGCTAGAGGGTGGCGGTTATTGTGGCAGGAGAAGCTGTGCCTGTCTTTCCTCTTGCTAGTTCCTGTGCTTTGGATACCAGGGGTTGAGCTTCCTGAGATGTAGCTGCTGCTGCCTGTAATTTGCAATCGCAACAGCCTCTGCTGTGCCCAGAGGCCTGCCTGAGCTGCTCTGCTGCCTCACCCCAGGGAGAGATCTCACAGCAAGGCCCTGTTCCTAGCCAAGGTGGGGCCTGTCTCTGGCTCTGACTAGTCCTAGGGAGACACAGGTAATTGAGAGAGAGAACTCAAGCACTGACTGGCGCTGGGCAGCAAGGAGACTATGTAAAAATGGCTGTGCCTTCTCTCCATCTCAGCTCCTTGTGTGCCCCTGACACACACAGGATCTCAGTTCTGTTGGCACTCGCCGGAGCCGGTGCAGGTCCGAGAGACCAGCGCTTCCAGGAACGGAACAATAACCCAGGCTCCCAGCCAGAGGAGAAATGAGAAATGCTCCCTCCCCTTTCCCTAAGTCAGTTTTCTGCTTCTGTCTAGTAAACATGCTGATGCAACTGGTTTCACCAAAACAGCTTCTTTTCAGTCTGCCTTTGCAGGGCTGGTAAAGGGAGGGTTTAAAATATTTTGGTGTTCTTAGCCCGGTGACAGGTGCCAGATCTGCACTATCAAGCATTTTACCAGCACCACACAGCCTGCAAATTTGGCATGCAGACAGAGACTGGAGAGAGGACCGGGCTTTAAAATGGTCGGGAGCCCGACCTCATCTCTCCCCATTTGCCCTCAGTGCCCTGACAAGCTGAGGAATAAGACCCACCTTTTGATCGTTTCAGGGGGACAGAAAAGAGAAATGGCTGCACCGGAGCCAGCTCAGGTAAGGCATTTTCATGGGGCTGGGGGGGCTTGTTATGCAGGGAGAGGACTAAATACACAGGTAGGTGGAGGAGGGGAGAGAGTGCAGCCTGCCAGGATGTGTTCGGACCAGGGGCTGACTTGTAGGATCAAGGAGATGATTAGGGGAAGGGAGAAATCCCCGAGCTACAGCATATGGATCAAATCCCAGCACTTTCCTCTCTGTGCTAGGCAAGGGCTGCTGGGAATTGTTTCTGGCAGGATGGGTGAATAATAGAGCATCATTGAGAAGTTTCTGATTGAATCTCCCAGTCTTGCCAAGACCCAGACGTGAAGCCACAGATCCCAAGATGGGGGCAAATTAATGGAAAAGTGCCCGGAGCTCAGGACACAGCCACAAAGACATTCTGCCTCTGGGCTTCCCAGCGTTGGCATTTCGGAGTTCAGTGATGTCTGAGGCGGGTATGGAGTGCGGGGTGGGCTTACATCTGGGGGAAAGCAGGCCTGCATTGAGGGGTCCCGTGAGAACGTGGTGCCAGGTGAGTCTAACCGGAGCTCTAGGTGAGCTATTGCCTTGCCGTGCCATAGAGCATAAGGTACGGGAGACTGAGGCACATGGCTTGGGCGGTGGGATTGTTCATGAACCAGCAGATACTGAGTGGGCAATGCTTGTGATTTCAGGTCCCGGTGACATTTGAGGATGTGGCTGTGTATTTCTCTCGGGAGCAATGGGGCCTTTTGGACGATATGCAGAGGGCCCTCTACAGGGATGTCATGCAGGAGAATTACCAGACTCTGGTCTCACTGCGTAAGGATTAAGCTCTTCTTGTTTATTTGAAGCTCTGTGGAGGAGCTTGTGTTTGTGGCCTTGGTGTTTCCAAGCCCATGCTTGAGCATCCACACTGCATTGTAACCTAGACTTACAATTGCGAAACCCAGATCTCACAGCCATACCAACGCATTCATACTGCACCACGCAGACCTTCTGACTCGGGTCTGTGGCTTGGCCTGTGTTCAAAATAACAGGGCTTGGACCTGAGCCACAGCAGGACTTGAGCTCTGACCCGCCCCACTAGCTGGGTCTAGGACTCAGGTACTTGCTGATGTGAGTCAGACTGATTTGTGTGTGGATGGAAGTGGGGCTTGAGCTGAAACCTGAGTCAGAGCTTGGGTTTAGTGTGCAGTGTGGACATACCTTAGAAGTCTGGGGATCCAGCCAGGCCTGGAGTGGCAGGGGGAGACCCCAGACAATACCTTTCAAGTAGCCCGTAAATGAGTGAGCACTTTGCGGGGGTGGGGAGGGATTGAACCCTTGTGGGTATTCCTCCCCACCCCCTTATATGCAAATGTTATCCATGCAGAGCCGGCTCTGGCTTTTTCGCCGCCCCAGGCGAAAAAGCCTCCGGCCGCCCCCCCCCCTGTAAATAATGAAGAGGACAGGTCATTGATACAGAGCAATCTGGATCCCTTGGTAAACTGGGTGCAAACAAAATATTTATTTGAATGAGGCCAAATGTAAAATTATACATCTAGGGACAAAGAATTTAGGTCCCACTTACAGGATGAGGAGACTGTACTGGGTAGGAGTGACGCTGAGAAAGACTTGGGGATCGTGGTGGATAACCAGCAGAACGAGAGTTCTTGGTGCAATCCTAATGCAGTCCTAGGGTGTATAAATGGGAATATCAAGTAAGCACAGGGAGGTTATACTACTTCCCTGTTTGGCACTGGTGTGATCATTACTGGAATACTGTGTCTAGTTGTGGCATCCACAATTCAAGAAGGATGTTGATAAATTGGATAAGAGCCAGGAGAATGATTCAATGATTGTAAAACTTGCCTTATGATTAAGGAAGTCACATGGCCTGTGTTATCCAGGAGGTCAGATGAGATGATCACAGTGGTCTTGTCTGGCCTTATACAACCCTCATGCTTCAGGGTTTAAGCTAATCTGTAGAGATGAGGGTGAGACCTAACATGGGGAGCAGATTATTCCACATTTGCCTAATGCAAAATTGCTTGTTCCGTCCTCTGGAACAGCCGGTTCAGGTGACTGGCCTGGGCACTGGACTACATGGACCTTGAGTCTGATCAGTCTGGCAATTCCTATGTTCTGCTCTTCTTTGTATTTCACTACATCGCGTCTCCCTCTTTCTTTCTCTTTCTTTTTCTCTCTGGATCCCCCTTTCCCGCCCTTTGCGGTGCTCTTTGCCTTCTCTTCCACTGTTCTCCCCTTGCGTCTCCTCCTTCCTCCCACAATCCTTCTTTTCAATCATCTCCACACCTTCCCTCCGCCTCCCCTCGGTCCAGTGTCTCCCACAGCTCTCCAGTCACAGCCACACACCCTCAATCTAACCCTCACACACCACAGTCACTCTCTGTCCCTCGACAAGCATATACAGCACCAGTCGCACGCAGTCAGAGAGACACGCCCACTAGTCACTGGCTTCTCTGTCCAACTCACCTTCACCGGACACCCCCACCCCCATCAAGATAGTTGCAAAAGCCTCTTGAGGCGACGCTGGGTTTGCTCCGGGTCACAACCCTCCCCGCCCTGCAGAGCAGCTGGAGTAAGCAGCGCAGGGAAGTCAGAGTCCCTTCTTGAAGACGGGGGTGGCTGGGCAGGATGCATGAACAGCAGCAGATGTGATGGCTGCCACCTTGGCCAACACGCCAAGCTGCGGGAGAGTCTGCCACCTCCCCGTCTTCTCCCATAGGGAAGGCTGTTCAGAGACAGAACACCGTCCAGGGCTTTCAGTGGGGAGAGAACGGTGCGATTCCCCTATACATAGGCACTTCTACAGAGGCTCACCATGTCCCCTCGCCTCCTTGGCCTGGTTCCATGTGCTGAGAGGCCCCGGTCTCACTGCAGTAGACATAGCAGCAAGTACCAGGCTTATTAGTTTCTCTTTGCCTAAGTTATGTGCAGGTCCCTGAATCAGCTATAAGGGGCTCAACACATCTCCCAGACACTGTGTGCCTTTCCCAAGGGCCTCGGGGAACATCCCCCGTCTATTCAGGCGAAACGGCTCCTCCCAGCAGAAAGAGGAGCTGGGTTTAAATCAGGGGCCATTCTTTGTAATAAACAGTCGAGGAATATTTGACAAACGCTGATTTCCTTTCTCCCTGAGCAGGATCTTCCATTCCCAAACCTGACGTGATTTCCCAGCTGGAACGAGGGGAAGAGCCCTGGGTCCCAGACCTCCAGAGCTCCCAGGAAAGGGAGGTCCCAAGAGGTGCCCGAACAGGTGAGAAATAGGCTAAACCACCTCAGGAGCTGTCAGTGGAATGAAGATCTGGGAATCCAGCAGCACTTTCATATAGACTCATAGACTTTAAGGTCAGAAGGGACCATTATGGTCATCTAGTCTGACCTCCCGCATGATGCAGGCCACAAAAGCTGACCCCCCCACTTTCCCTTAACTCAGCTGTTGAAGTCTCCAGATCGTGATTTAAAGACTTCAAGTCGCAGAGAATCCTCCAGCAAGCGACCCCTGCCCCATGCTGCGGAGGAAGGTGAAAAACCTCCAGGGCCTCTGCCAATCTACCCTGGAGGAAAATTCCTTCCCGACCCCATATCTTCTCATCTCCCTCTTATCTCTTCCACTATTGTATCTGGTGTGGATGATGCCCACATGGCTGATGTCAGTCAGGGCTGTCTACCCATCCTAACTCACATCTGGCAGGGGTCTGTCCCCTCACCCATCCTTTCCCTCTGTCTTCGGGGGACAGTTCAGGGATTCGATTCCTGATTTTCAGTCTCATTGCAAGAAACCCTGCTTGTCACTAGACATTGCCAATTGGAGTTGCTTTTTAATAGACGAATTTAAAAAAACCAACAACCCTTTTTCTGATCTAGCCTTCTAGCAGTATGTCCTAAAATTGGAATATAGGGTTTCCTGCTCCCCTGGTTATATCTTGAAGGATTTTTGGATGGGCCTGCGAGCAAAACAGCCAGAGATTCCCAGGCCCCCTCGCTCCTCTCTGTGCACACCCCTACCTGCTGCTGGCGGCCTGTTCGGTGTCATGTCTGCTCTGCTGTTCCTGGTAAACAATCTCTGGCAGCGATGTCAGACTCTCCCCTTCTCATCTCTTTCTGTTCTGATTGACGACTGGATTGCAATAGCACCCAAGAGCCCCTGGCATGGGCTGCTCAACCCCCATTCAGCCCCGGGTCCTGTCCCCACCTCACCCCCTCCCCCAAGGCCCCACCCTGGCCCCACCTCTTCCTGCCCCCGCCTTGCCTCTTCCCGCCTGGTTCCGCCCCCCTCCCCCGAGCGCGCCCCGCTCCTTCCCCTCTCCCCCCAGCGCCACCTGCACGCTGCGGAACAGCTGATTGTGGCAGGCAGGAGCCGCTGGGAGGCAGGGAGAGTAGTTGATCAGCGCATGGGGCTGTTGGTGGGTGGGAGGCGCTGGGGGGAGGGGAACTGGCTGCCGGTGGGTGCTAAGCACCCACAAATTTTTTTCCGTGGGTGCTCCAGGGCTGGAGCACCCATGGAGTCGGCATCTATCAGGAAATGACTCATGTCTGGATTCTCTTCTTATTCCAGCAGGGGACGACGTCATCACCCAGAGGAATCCCGCAGGCGATAGGCCGACCATATGCAATGAGTGCGGGAAGAGCTTCAGAGGGAGCTCAAACCTCGTTCAGCATCAGAGGATCCACACGGGGGAGAGACCTTACAAATGCGCAGCCTGTGCGAAGAGCTTCCGCCAGCGCTCACACCTCCTCCAGCACTGGAAGATCCACACGGGGGAGAGACCCTTTGAATGCCCCGACTGCGGGAAGAGCTTCAGCGTGAGCTCCGCCCTCATTAGGCACCAGAAAACTCACACGGGCGAGAGACCCTACGCATGTGCCGAGTGCGGGAAGAGCTTCAGCGTGAGCTCCGCCCTTACTAGGCACCAGCGCATCCACACGGGCGAGCGGCCCTACGTCTGTGCCGAGTGCGGGAAGAACTTCAGCGTGAGCTCCCATCTCGTGCAGCACCAGCGCATCCACACGGGGGAGCGGCCCTACGTGTGCGCTGAGTGTGGCCGGAGCTTCAGCCAGAGCTCCCACCTCCTCCAGCATCAGAGGGTCCACACGGGCGAGCGGCCCTACGAATGCACCGAGTGCGGGAAGAACTTCAGCCAGAGCTCGGACCTCATCAAACACCAGAGAACCCACTCGGGAGAGCGACCCTACGAATGCCCTTGCTGCTTTAAAAGCTTCACCTGGAACTCAGTGCTCATTAAACACCAGAGAGTGCACATGGGACAGAGACCCTATGCGTGTGGCCAGTGCGTGGAAAGCTTCAGCCCTCATCATCCCTCAGAGAAACCCACACGGCACAAACCCCACTGATGGAGCATCAGGACACAAGCCACTGTAATGCACTTGCTCTTATGAGCAAGTCACTTCAACTCTCTGTGCTGCGTCTTCCACCTCTGCCTAAAGGAAAATGGGAATAATGGGATTCTCTGGTCCTTGTTTATAGGAGAGGGCTCTGCTCACCCATTACCAGCTGGGACTTTTCCTGGAATTATAGGGTTTAGGAGGTTTCTTTTCCTTTTACTATAGAGTGGGTTGAGTGCTGTTTCTGGAAATTCAGGTTTAGGAGGTTTTCCAGTGAGTTTAGTTCCGGTTTCAGTAAAGTCTTTATTTGTAGCAGTGGGTCCTTGGAATTTGGGTTTGAAATGTTAAAAATTGTCAATAAAAGTTTGCATTAAGATACCATTGTCTTGTAAATTTTATTAGTACTCAGAGTGCCAGAGGCTAATTTCTCCAGATAGAATTATTCCCAGTTTTCGGTATGCAGCTCATTTACCAATAGTGTCTGTGAATGTCCAGGAGACAGGTACGTGAGACCCCCAACGTGGTGACTCAGAGAAATGTACACTCTTCCAGCAGCAGATCCACTCTTGCTCCCTGGTACCAACTCGAACTTTCGTCTTTTTTTTAATTATTATATTATATTATATTATATTATAGTCTCTCCTCTCCGGATCATATTTAACTTCTTTAGATCCCATTTCAACAAAGCTCTTCAAATGCTTATGTCCCGTTGACATCAGTGAGACTTTAGCAACTGTTTAAAGTTAGTAAGTGGTTTGTTGAGTAGAGATGAACATAAGCATGTGTTTTAGAGTTTTGCTGAATCAGAGTTTAATTCCCTAAATTCCAGGACTGTCAGTTCGACAGTGGGATTGTTTATTCAGGGTGGGTTTTCAAAAGCACCAGAAGGAGTTATTGAATTTCAATGGGAGCAGGGCACATAAATCACATCTTAATAAGGGTAGTCGGCGCCAGGTGGCAGCGAGGTTTGGGCTTCCTTCACAGAAGAGAGATGGATTGGAGCTACATTTTTAAACCACTGCGCAAAGAATTACATCCTCTTACTTGTTGATACCGGTTGTTATGCTTGTAAATTTGGAGATCATTGTGATGAGTCACAGAATTCCTATTAATTAATTAAACAAACAAACCAAACCAATTAAAAAAACAAAACTAAAAACAAATCAATGGCCCTAGAAAATAACCTTTGTCTACCCCAGTGGGATGCAATCTGGGGGATTGTGCTTGTGTGACTCCTCAGTAGACAAGGTAAGACAGTTAGCCCATGTTTTTATGTCAATAAATAGACTAAGCCTTGGACGCTCTGCACTTCCTGGGACAGTGCGTCTGAGAATTGTTATGTTGTATCAATACAATGTCTGTTGTTATAGTGGGTGAACCTGAGGCTCTAGCCCAGAGCAGGTATTAATTTTGTATCCTATCTCATCCTCTCCAGAGCTCATAAAGTAACAATACATCGGTAAACTGGTGGAGATCAATGGAGCTTTGTTGATATATACCAGCTAAGAATCTGGCCCCAAACATTTAGTAGCAACAAGGTGGAATTTCAAACTAGGTTCAGAAAGCTTGAAAATGCTTTTGAAATGTCCCTAGTGAAAACAATCCAGGGAGATTTGGAGGCAAGCTAGCAAAGCAAAAGATATAAGCATTTAACCCCTCAGGGGTTCAGGTGGGATTTTCCAATACAGTGTACGGGGCTCAGTTTCTAGTTTAACTGCGCATTTTCCCTAACAGATTAAACATAGTTGTTGCAGATGAGGAGAAATATATTTTGCTTCTGCCACAGGACGTTGTACATCTTTCTTTGCTTTGGATTTTTTTCTTCTTTTATGAAAGGGACAGAATATGACGAGAACCTCCCTGTATCACCACTAAGAAAGCCTCAAAGAATCAGCATGTAGTTGAATGACTTGTAATTGACAAAGTATTTGTTGTTTTCCAGATATCTGTGATTGATGTGCAGTTCATTATTTCCTGGTGGAAATGAAAAATTCAGCATATCCCAGTAACTATTTGCCCAATCTTTGTTTTTCTTTCTGGTGGATTTGAACACCTGAGTAAGGGCAATCTTTCAGCTACTCTGTACGGATTCCTTTAGCAGTCCAATTTCCATCCCTAAAATTTCACCTGCCCATTAGCAAATGTCGTAGAAGCACCGTTCCCCAGCTAGAAAAAGAGAATCTAGGGTCTGATTTTTCAAAGGTTTTGAGTACCTCTAGACACCACTGACTTCAAGGGAAATTGAGGTGCCTAAGATCTCTGAAAAATCTTTTAACCTCAAGTAGTGTCATTCCTCACAAAGTAAGGTACCATTCAGTGTGAGTATAGGTGGAACAAATGGACATTAAAGGAGTTTGCAGACATTGTCACCTATCATTCCAGTTGCTGAGTCCAGAGTCTCCTGTATCTCTTAAAGGAAGAACAAGGGTAAGTATTACTTGAACATCCTACTCTGATCTGCGTGTTTGCCTCAGCAAATCCTGCCCCTTCCTTCAAGGATAGAGAGGGAACCTTTTGCAGTGAAACCTATTCTAAGGCTTATTTTTTCGCAGTGTAGACATACCCTAACTTCCTTGCTGGTTTAGGTTTTCAAAGCAGAGTAGAGTCCTGATCCAGCCTCCATAGAAGCCATAGGAAATCTAGCCTCACAACTTGTATCCCAACCAATAGCTGTTGTGTGGCTGAATACCCTAGTTGCTTTTGAAAAATTCAACCTTCTACACCTCTACAGAGCTTTCCCCACCCCGCCAAATGAGTTATTTTCCTTCCTTCCTGCAGGAACAAACTGCCACAGGGTGGCTGGCCCTTGTAACTGAAGTAGGTCCAGTGCCCCTGGGCCAAAACAGGTGTTCCCACTTGCCCAAATTAAGGGCTGCACCTGGGGCTATAAAGGGTCAAAGAGCGAGCAAATAAATGAGAGCTGCTGGAGAGAGAGGGAGCCAGGAAGCTGCAAGAGGCAGGGCTGCTATAGTCCCCTGGCAGGTGAGGCAGTGAGAATGCCTAAAATGTCAAGGGTCAGTTGAAGGCCTGTGTTTTGTTTGTTTAAGATTGTGGATCTGCTTTAAAGAGATCATGGGTGTGGCAGTGAGGCCTTAGCGAGCTGGGGAGATGCCCTGCCTGGTTGCAAACACGTTAGCTGGGTATGAATGATAAGGACCATCTTGTGGGGTTTTGGAAGGGTTAGCAAGGGCCTGGTAATAGCTGGGAACATTCAGCATGGTATGAAACTGCTCCCACCAAGCCAATGTTGGCTTACTGACTTGGCCTCATTTCACTGGCTGTGGGCATTTTCCCTACGGTGTTGTGTAGGGGGCTGCTGCTTGATATTTGCTTGCTGGAGTGTTTGTGAGGCCCTCAAACCAGGGGCAGAGATTTTAAAGCTCAATAACAATTGTGGAAATTCAAGAAGACAAGGACCCTCCTCCATTGCTATGGTCAGAGGGGTGTGATTGACTTGTGGGATTCAATCAACCTGTCAAAAGAGAGATCTAAGCAAATGCTGCTGTTGGAGAATCCTTAGTAATAGCAAAAGAGTATTTTTACCAAACTAGGAAGGAATGAGACAGGCCCTGATTCAGCAAATCTGGAATATCCGGCCTTTTCTAAAAATCACTGATTCTGTTAGGTCTGTCTCTGTAATGTGTCTTGCTCTGAGCCTTCTCATCTGGTGATCCAGGCCAGGAGGTCTCTGTTCTTAACTCCCCGTTTGTAGGCTCATTGCTTGGCGTGTAGAATACAGTTTGGCTCGCCATCAAAGCTATGTATTTTGATATTCTCTATCACGTCTCTTCTACGTGCTAAGGCTCACTGAGCTGTGGGCACAGCAAATGATCACATTTAGTATCAAGAGGATGTGGGTGTGATGAAGTGGGACTGTTCTTAATATTTGCTCTGAATACTGTGTGGGTGCCTCAGTTTCTGACTGACACTCTGTTGCCTAGCAACTAATGGCCAGGCCCCTCCCCCCCCCCCCCCCCCCCCCCCCCCCGCAAGGGGATGCTAGAGGTGTGGGAGAACAAAGAGGTCAGGTGACCTCCTGGCCCGGGAAAGGAACTCCACAGAGAAGGAGGGGCTGGAGGGGGTTGGAGTTTGAAGCTGGCTGGGGACTAGGAGTGAGGGCAGACAGGGGCTGTCTGGCTCCCTGGGCCCCAGAATGGACCCGGCTGAGGGGTCTGGTTCTCTGAACCTACAAGCTCTGTTTTAGACTGTGTTCCTGTCATCTAATAAACCTCTGTTTTGCTGGCTGAGAGTCACGTCTGACTGTGAAGTGGGGGTGCAGGACCCTCTGGCTTCCCCAGGACCCCGCCTGGGCGGACTTGCTGTGGGAAGTGCACGGAGGGGCATATGCTGAATGCTCCAAGGGCAGACCCAGGAGGTGAAGCCGTGTGAGCTTCTTGCCCTGAAGACAGTCTGCTCCATGGGAGAGGAGGCTCCCCAAAGTCCTGACTGGCTTTGTGGGGAGCAGTTCCAGAGCATCACCCGGGGACTCCATGACAGTGAGGTAGGCAGGAAGATATCCAGGGACAAGCAGTGGCCCCATCATATAGGTACTTGCCACTCTCAGACCTCGGCACTTTCCACACAAAAAAAATATGAGCTACAGATGAACTGGTCCCAGTAGCATGATTGGAGATGAATGTTCCCTACAGCACAGTCAGTCGTCTTACTCATCTAAGCAGGTGTACATTTCATCTCTGACAGCTGGTAAGAATCTATGTACCCTTTGCCTGTCTTCCAGCATCTGCATTGCTCTCCTTGGCTTTCAGGCAGTACTTCCTGTTCAGGCTGGTGAAATGACAAGAATTGTACCACCAGGCTCCCTTAGAGACCCAATTGCGTGACTGTTTAGCATTGTTGCGGTCTATGGTTGAAAGCTGTGTGTTCTTTAAGTTACTAAAGGAATCACCTGGATTAAAACAACATTAACGACTTGCTACAAATGGTTACAAGTTGAATTGCCCCAAAGGCCTGACCTTTCAGGTAGATTGTATCTGCTACTGAAGAACCCCTTTAGTACGGTAGATAGGCGTAACAAGAACACATGGCTGGAAATTAAGGCCTGACAAATTCAAATTAGAAATAAGGCACAAATTTTTACAGTGAGGGTGATTAACCAATGGAAAAAACTACCAAGTGAGGTGGTGATTCTCTCTTGCTTGAAGTCTTCAAATCGAGACTGGGGTTTGTCTACACGGCTCTGTAGTGAGGACTACATGGGTGTGATTTGTAGTGCACACCGAAGTGTTGCTCTATAACTGCATCATGTAGACGCTGCTCGCTCACACTCAAAGGTATCTAGTTCATGTTAACATGGTCCTGTTTCTGATAGGATTGTTATTGTAAACT